TGCCTTTTCATAAAAATATTGAACTCTGTTAGTTTTCAGAGTTGTATCTTTTCATTATAAAAAATAAATAAACTATTCAAATAAATTTATAAAACAATTTAGTTTTAAAAATATTAAAATATTTTATTAAGTGTCTTTCTATAATTATAGATCTTTTCTTTATACAATCAATTTACTTTCTTTACTTGACATAAAAAGTTGGTGGGAGATCATGAACGATTTTTCTGTTGAGAAATGGTAAGACGGTCTATTAATAGAAGCACAATTAATGTTAAAAGTTATATTTTCATTAAAAACTAAAATGTATTAATTTAAGAGTTGTATTTTCACTATAAAAATTGTGTGTTTTATTAAAAAAAATGAATTATATTAGTTTTAACTTTAAAAGCTGTATTTTTTCATTATAAAAATACATTAGTTTAAAAGGTAGTAAAATATATTAATAATTGTTTTTAAAATTTATTAGTTTAAGAGTTATTCTTCTCATTATAAAAGATAAATTAATAATAAAAATTCCAATAAAAGTTAAGAGTTGTATTAGTTTAAGAGTTGTATCTTCTCATTATAAAATAAGTTGTGTCTTTTCATTAAAAATGGAATGATAGGTTTAAAAGTTGTATATTAACATTACAAAATACATTAGTTTAAAAGTATTAAAATATCTTAATAATTTTCCTTTCAATATTATTAGTTTTAAGAGTTCTTTTTCGTTATAAAAGAGTTATGTGTTTTAATAAAAAAATGATATCTAATAATTTTAAGAGTTGTGTCTTTTCACTATAAATATACAATATTTGAAAAGTAACTAAAATCTCCCAGTAAATGTCATTCTACAATTAATATTTTTTTTTAATATACAAATTTTAGTTTTAAGAATTGTGTATTCTCATTATAAAACACAACATTTTTTTATTGTTAAAATATCTTATAAGTGCCTCTCTATAATAATGGATCTTTTCATTATGCAATAGAGTGTCTTTTTGTAATGAGTGTCTATTCAAAATATATTGTAAATGTACTATTTTAAACTAACTATCTCAAAATCGTGATTTTCACATAAGTTTCTCAAAATTGTACTTTTTGTAATGAGTGTCTATTCAAAATATATTCCATAAGTTCCTCATTGTAAATATTTCACATATGTATTAAAATTGTGAGGAGAAAAATTGTGTGCTTACATGTTTATAAATTCTTAGAAAATATTCAAATGAAACATTAATTATTAGGAAGGATTATTTGAATTTGGATACCAATAAGATCCTAAACGAAATGGAGTTTTTAGTCTTAATTTTCTTCTATTAAATAAAATTAAGTCCATCACATAATACATCATGGATTTGTTAATCTCTTGATAATTAGGAAGAACAAAATAATTTAATATTCTTTTATTTTATGAAATTTTATACCAAAATATTCTTTTTAGTTTGTAAGCAGGTAATTTTTTAGAAAGACTCTTTCGTAGAATACTTTATTCAAATGGAAAATCCAAATTACGTTGAAAGTTTAAAATCAATTTTAATATATTTTTTTATTTCTTCTAGAACGTCTAACAAAACAGAATGTATGGGTGATATGCTAAAAAATATGTAAAAAGATAATTTATCTTAAAACTATCATATAATCATCTTTTCGACTACACACATTTTAGATGATTCAAACAAATCCTAAATAGTTTACATATCGCTATAAGTTAACGTATCAATTTAGTAAATGTTTAGATTGGAACATGTTTGTTTTTAATTAGTTTTAAATATTCAGTTGTTTTCAGAAAAGAAAATTAGCTGAACGGGTAATAAAAATATATCTTATTTGGTATTGGCATATTTGTAATTTTACCTACCCAAATCTGTAAACAAAATATAGTTTTTTTATATTATCAATGAAGAAATATAATTGCATGCACAATAATTTATGATACATGTATTTCCACAAAAAGTTGTTAGAGTTCTTATAAATGATTATCTTATAAAATATAGAATATTTTTTTTATAAATGAGCTTCCGTGCGACATCGCACGGGTTCGTTACCTAGTACTGTATAATAATATAATCGTACAACACCGTCTGCGATCTTATCGATCATTTAATGAAAAGTTAAAATGACTGAGCATTGACACTACATGTAATCAGAATCACGGAACTTTGACACTCCAGCCATTTGTTATATCCTATTTTTGTGCAACTTGTTATATCTTATAGTCTAATACTTTTAAATGACAAATAATATACACATGTATTTACTACATGTAAACAAATGATGATCAATAGGTCAAATTAATTTGAATACTATATATTTGGTATGAAGGCGCGAAAGGCGAAGTATTTATATAGTATATGGCGGGCTATATTTAAGAAGAGCACTTCAAGCACACATTGTGGAGACAAGCATTGCAAAAGGAGCATTTGATTTGGCATGAAAAGCAAAGAGACGAAGCGCCAACTCGATGTCCCATGCAACCAAGGGCATAAACCCTCCATAACCCCTTTACGTCAACAATTCATCAACATTATTTCAATTTCAGTATGAATATTAACAAGCAAAATATAAGGTCTATTTAATTTTTTGGTTACTATTGAAAGTACTTTTATTGGAATGTAAACAACCATTTTCACGGATTTATTCAAGAGGTATAATAGGTTATAATTGCATATCAAGTTCTCCCTCTAGTACAAATGCATATCAAGTTCTCCCGTTATAATTTTTTGTGTTAGTTCTGTCTGTTGTTACATTTAAAAATATATCGATTGTATAAACGGTCATAAAAAAGATAAACTGTGCTAGCATTAACTTCATTATAAAAGATTATTTATCAAAAAAAATTACACAGTTTTGGCGTGTGAGTAGTGCGCCAGTGTACCACTCGTTAGTAGTCTTTTCCCTGCAGGAAGGAAAAGACTTCGTTAGTAGTCGTTAGTAGTGCGCCAGTGCTAGCATTAACTTCATTATAAAAGATTATTTATCAAAAAAAAATTACACAGTTTTGGCGTGTGAGTAGTGCGCCAGTGTACCACTCGTTAGTAGTCTTTTCCATAACTTCCCCCCAATTTTTTTCCCTCCATCATCAGTATTTCCCCACAATATTTAGATATTTTCTTAATTACTACATTCTTCTTGTATTTTCAGCCAATTCACCCTAAACTGAGGTATGGAGTACAGTTATTCAAAAGACAAATAAGTCAACATATTGAATTTTGCTAAGACGCACAAAATAAGTCAAACTTTTAAATTGTTAGTACAACACTGTCTGCGATTTTATCGATCATTTAATGAAAAAGTTAAAATGACTGAGCATTGACACTACATGCAATCAGAATCATAGAACTTTGACACTCCAGCCATTTGTTATCTCCTATTTTTTGTGCAACTTGTTATATCTTATAGTCTAATACTATCGGGATACTATGGAGCCATAAATGTGATGTAAAGCTTCCACCCACCTCCTGCAAAAGGATAGTTATAGAGGAGGATCAGGTGGTATTGGCGTTGAAGATAAAAAAGACAATCTAAATAAGTTTAGAATTTGAATAATGAAATTTTATGACTATATTTTTAATCTTTGTTGTTTCTTAAGTTTGGATCTCTTTTCATCTTCTTTTTCATTGTTTATTCAGGAAAAAAATGGGTGATCGAAGATGTTGACTAGACATTTTCTTTACCAGAAATTGGTTTATGATTGTTTTTCTTAAGATCATTGTGTCTCCGAACATGAAAAGTCTTGATTCATGTTCATGTTATGGCTCTAAGTGCACAAAATCGGTACATGAAAAAATATACCATCAATTGTGTTTCTTTACAAAAGAAAAAGCTAACTTTTGAATGTATCAGTGATTGGTTGTGGACCAAATGTTTGGTTAGTCTGATTTTGGATGTTATTGTTGGTTTTTTATATATATTCATAGTCAATGTGAAATTTAGAAAAAAATGACTTTGGAAAAATTGTACATGCTATATATGAGTTAGACGTAACTTTCATTGCATATATATGGTGATGAAAAGTTGCATCATGTTGACCTTTCAAACACACAAGACAATCACCAAATTTTTTACTTTGTTTAGTTTCTTCATTTGACATTGGTTATATAAACATGAACATAATATTTCCTTTTTTCCTTATGTTTTCCTTCATTTTTATATTTTTACATTTATGTTTTGATTCCCTAAGGTGTTTACTATCAAAAATAACTTATTTTGAATCCAATCCATATTGAAGGCTTGTTGAATTAGAATTCAAAAAATGAGCATCGTCAAAATTACTAATCAACAACCTAATTATGTAAGTTCTATATACATCAAATTTATCATGACCATAGTAGAACCCCTTCACTTAGTTGAATTCAAAATGTCGATCGCAATCATTATCAACAACCTAACATTATTTGAGTTGTATAAGCATGAATTTTATCATGACCATTTCCTGAATGCAGATTATCAATTGAAGGTATCCTCCTATTTAAATGTCCAAAATATAAATAAATATCAAACTTTATTTATCAACCATTTAAACATCATAACTGTATCGTATAAGTTAAAAAGTAGGATCATAAGTTTCAGCGCCAAAAAATCACTAACATTAACTCATGTTATTTATAATCTTTTGGATTATTCGCGTTTTCCTAAACAAGGTATTCAGACGCATTAGGAAAAAAAAACTAAATCTATAAGGCAAAAACTGCAAATCTTACAAATCTTAAAACAAGGCTAGTGAGTACAAGTTTTCACACATGTTTTGAATAGATGATTCCATCTCGAATTTATCTGTCTGAAACACGGCTAATGATTACAAGTTTTCCCACGAGTTTTGAATAGATGATACCATCTCGATTAATGTTGTCAAAAGAAAATTCAATACTTTCTAAAGATAACCTAAAAGAAAAGCTATTCACAAGGCTTTCTCGCTATTTATTTGCCGCTTGCTTTCCCGTTTTAAAAATAGTACAGCTTTTCGCTAGTGATTTTGCAGAGGAAACAAATTTTTGGTACTTCCCATAATTGATGATATGCTACTTACTCCCAATCTCATCTGAGACCACGGCGTGACCTAAGAGTCTCAATGATATAATTCATCAATCACTGGTAGACCACGGCGTGACCTAAGAGTCTCAATGACCTTGATCTTTAAAATATTACAGTCTCTTTGACGGTATCAAAGCAGTCATTACGAAAATTACAACCTCTAGCTAATTTTGTAAGGGAAAGAATCATCCTTTCATGGTGAATTGGTGATTATATACAATAGACTCAATTAAGATTATTACTTGGATTTTGGACATGTTGCCATGAGAGCTTTCATTGTATGTTCTGATGATAAAAAGTTGCATCATGTGAAGACTTTCCAAATACACAAGAGAATGACCCAAATTCGTTAGTCCAATTGAACAGAAACTTATTAATCAAGAACCTGACGAATTTGGGTAATTCTCTTGTTTATTTGGAAGGTCTTCACATGTTAAGTGTCAGATAACATGGTCATGATAAATTTGTTAATTAGTCCTTCTAACTTTATATAAACATCAATGTTATCATGGCCATGTAACATCTCTCCCCTGAATGCCACGAGCTTCCAGTGAAAGTATCCTCCTTATTTAAATGTCTAAAATAAAAATAATCATTGAACATAATGTAGCAACATTATTCGTACAAGCACCAAAGACATAATAGCTTGACATCGAGACAAACCCTCAAAATTAAAACAACAACTAAGTAATCCCACTGAGAATAAAAAAACACTAAACATAAATAAACATATGCAAGTCTTTGTATCAGGAGAGATGGTAGGGGCTGGTCTGCAGAGAATAGGAAAGGGAGGTTCTTGGCCTCCTGCAAAGTCCATGGCCTTTGCTTGATATTCCACGAGAGGCCCACTCGGAAACTCTCGAGCCATAAACGTAATGTACAGCTTCCACCCATCTCCTAGCTTCCACCCATCTCCTGCTTTTAGATTGCCTCTCACAATGCTTACAACTTCCACAGTCGAACCCTAAGTAAGTAAAACACATTCTCATCAAATTAAAACAAAACAAGTTTCTATTTGACGCCATCAGTATACTAACCTTCTCCTCGTTTAGTTTCTTAACACACAAGGAAGCAATATTCGCCAAATATTCCCTTGTGGTCATGTTTCTAAAACGTTGTTCCAGATCAGGAAGAGGGGAGATGAACCTAAATGGATCTTCTTCAAAAAAACCCTAAGAAAATCAAATACTTAAAAGATTAACCACTTTAACGGCTTAAGAGGGGCTGGCGTTACCTTGTTCTTCCAGGCCTGAATCTTAAATTGGCGGAACTCTTCGTATTCCTTGTCGTTGGAGAAGCTTTTACGGTCCTCAGAGTCGTAACATTCGTAACCATCGAAGCTGTCCACATCCCACTCCGGTTCCGGATCTTGCATGTTTATTAAATAATTAGTTCTAGGAGGCCTCACGACTCCTTCATCATCTTCTGATCGACACTCCATGCGCGTCCACTATCGGTATCGCTTTCGTTTTCTATGCTTGTGTCGTTTTCATATTCGAACTTCGGCTTTTTCGAGATAGAAGACTCAGATTCATCTTCTTTCGAAACTTGTTTCTCCGTCACATCGTCGCTGATCATCGTCGCCAGAGAGTTGAGCAAACCCTAGAAATAAATCCCTTCCTATTTGGGCCACGCAGAGTTATTTTTTGGTAACCCATCTGTTTTTTTTTCTTCTAAAATAATAACATATGGATTGATATAAAAATGGCTAATTTATTTGTGTACTCCTTTTCTTTGTTGTTTTTAGTAAACAGGTTATGATAAATATTTTACATATTTAATTATGAAGGTAGACATTCTTTTTTAATTAAAGGTGACTTTTATAAAAAATAAAAGAAATATACTAAAGTATTGTCGAGGTAAAAGTTAGTAATAATTTTAGAGTATTTGCAGTCCATACACACACAAAACACCTTATTTAGCTTTATATCCTATTTCTCTCTTCTCTTTCCTTCTCCTATCACTACTTTTTCCCCCTAAAATATGGCAAATTTCTAAATATTTACTTCTTTTGGTATTTTGAGCTAAATCACTCAATTTTATTTTTATTTTCTCAAAAATTTGATATTCATCAAAGCGATGCTCGGCAAAGTGGCGGTTTTTTCGGTTCTTCATAGGGTGATATACTACAACCACAAGTATGTTAAACCAATGGACACGCGTTGCATGTCCCTTTTTCCTCATCTTTCGTCGTAAAATATGAGTCTCTCATATTCCACGGAATAGAAATGGACGAGCAGATACACTAGTTAAAAAAAGTAAGGAGTAGAGGGTATGCATTTTTTCATATAGATCAGATCCGGCCATACGAAACTTCTCCTTGGAGAGTCGATTCGAGTGGTTACCACTTGATCTAGAGTAAATGAGCAGCTGACAGAAAAAAAAAAATCAGTACAATAACTATCCACTCTCATTGACCTTGATCTCTAAAATTAAAGCAGTCATCACGGAAAATCAGAACTCGAATATAATTTTGTTAGTGAAAGAATCATCCTCTCATGGTAAAGGTGATAACATATTATAGACTCAATTAGACTACTTGGAATTTGGATCATGCTGCTATGAGAAATTCCATTGTATAGGTTGCTGATGAAAACTTGGATTATATGAAGACCTTCCAAACACACAAGAGAACACCCCACATTTATTAGTCCAAATAAACCGAAACTTATTAATCAACAACCTAACGTTATATATATGAGTTAAATAAACATGGTCACAGAACCTAAACCCACCTCGGACTCAGCTTACTTATAACTGGAAAACATCATTTCAATACACCTTGATTTTGGTGATCCGCGGAGACTAGCAACTTTTAGATTGAAGATTTGAAATTCAGAAAGACAATCATCCGAAACAACATAATTCCCATAATTGAGATAATCACTTTCTATTAAACATCTATTCCTCCACAAAAATTGACAAAGCTCACATGTAACTCCAAACAAAATTATAACAGCTACTAAGTAGTTACACTGACAATAAATGACTAAGCATATGAATATACCTATGCAAATCTTAGATTAGGAGTTAGTTAGGAGCTGGTCTGCAGAGGATGGGAAAGGGAGGTTTTCCTCCAAAATCCATGGCCTTGGCTTGATACTCCACGTGAGGACCATTGGGATACTCTCGAGCCATAAAGGTAATGTATAGCTTCCACCCATCTCCTATTTTCATATTGCCTCTAACGATTCTTACAAACTCCACAGCCGTACTCTAAGTAAATAACACACACACATCATATATGTAGATATCATATCAAATTAAAAGTTAGAAGTTAGAACAAACATCAAAGTTTACATTTGAATTGATGACTACTCTCACCTTCTCCTCATTGAGTTTCTTAACACATAAAGAGGCAATATAAGCCAAATATTCCCTGGTGGTCATGTCAATCCAAGGTTCTTCCAGATCAGTAAGGGGGAAGATGAACCTGAATGGATCTTCTTCAAAAAAGCCCTTCAAATATCAAATACAAAAAAAAAAATCAAAAAATTGATGTAATTCATTGGATAACATAGAGGGGTTAGTCACGTTTACCCTATTCTTCCAGGCCTGGATCTTAAATTGGCGGAACTCTTCGTAGTCCTCGTCGTCGGAGAAGCTTTTACGGTCATCAGAGTCGTAACATTCGTAACCATCGAAGCTGTCCACATCCCACTCTGGTTCCGGATCTTTCATGTTTAAGTAATTAATTCTAGTAGGTCTCACGACGTCTTCGTCTTCTGTGTCGACACTCCACGCGCGTCCGCTATCGGTGTCGCTTTCGTCTTCGTCTTCTTCATCTTCGTCTCTCGTTTCCTCCTCCGTAGAAGCTAGTTTCGCCGTCTCATCGTCGCTTTTCATTAGTCGCAAAGAATCTAACAAAACCCTAAAAATATCTCTTAATCAATTTGATATAAAATACAAGTGTTAGTCGGTCCGAAATATCTTTACAGCCTTTTTGACATGTTAACTTACCTGAGAGTATATAACGTTACGTACGTATTAGAAGTATTTTTACAATTATGCCATCACCTTTCATTGCTACTTTCTTGACGAACAAGAAAAGAAAAGTAATTGGGTTTCGGACCCATCCAGAAAATATCAATTCCCTCGTCCTTTTTATTTAGGCCCATTAGATAACCTGTGGGCTGCTATTGTATGTATATATACCGAAGTGAGAAACTGAAACGTTTATTTATAAAATTGCTCCAATATATAGATGTATTGCTTAAGCATCGATTTATACAGAGTGAATAGCAAATTATAGAGACTAAACTGTTGAAGATCTTTTTCCCAATTGTTGTTCCTTAATTTAAGATTTTATTCATACCAAAACTATCGTCAAAGTAACCACATGTTTTTCAAATTTTCTGTCTGAGACAACAACAAAACAAAACGAGAAGCAGTTTTGGGGTCACCACATTACTCAGCAATCTGATTGTTACCAGGCAACATCTGCAAAGCAGTTCTGTTGTTGTTACTACTCTTTATAGAGAGTTCCTTCACCAGCTTCACGAGTCGCCTCATGCTAACATCTTTCAAGTTCTCTTCATCAAACTCCACCTTCTTATTCTTCTTTGCAGCCTCCTCACCTTTGCTCTCTCCATTAACAACATTCATCATCATCATCTCCATGTTGTTCTCCTTGGTCGTGTCCTCGACATTAACCAGCTTCATAGCTGAATTGTTTGGTCTTGGAAACTGAGCTGAGACTGATTCCGCCACAAATGGAGATAATGGAGCTTCTACTAGAGCCTCTTCAAGCACAAGAGTAGAAGCTGGAGCAGTTACAAAACCTTCTGATTCAGGGAGAATCATGTTTCCGTCAGCAATATCAGTTCCCTGTATGGCTTGGTATGAATCAGCTTCAGAGATAGTGCCATCCGAGTCAGCACCAGAATCATCTCCTTCCTGCTCACTTTCTGAATCACCATCAGTTTCCACCATTGTATCTTCATCAAGAGTCATGATTTTCTCAGCCTCAGAATCATTCTCCTGAGTTACCTCTTCTATCTCTTGGTGGTCAACTTGGTTTGAATCAGCTTCCGAGATATTGCCGTCTGAGTCAACACTAGAATTATCTTCCTCCGGTTCAGCTTCTGCATCACCATTGGTTTGGTCCACCATTGTTTCCTCATGGAAAGTGTTGGCTTTCTCAGTCTCGGAATCTTTCTCCTGCCTAGCCGGTTCAGCTTCTGAATCACCACCGGTTTGGTTCACCATTGTCTCCTCATGGAAAGTGTTGGCTTTCTCAGGCTCTAAATCTTTCTCCTGCATAGCCTGTTCTGTCACACTCACAGGTACTAAACTCTCGAAAGTTTCAGAGTTCTTGGACTCTGCAAAAGAAAGACATTTTGATTTAGAAATGTAAACAACAAATGGTTAGTGCTCTTAATTTGAAGCATACCTTTATTAGCTGTCTCAGTGTTGTTGGCATGTTCCAAGACAGGAGTATCATCGTCATTCTTCAACACCTCCCATTCTTTCTCCATGGAAGCACTTAAATCTCTACTTAATATAACTTCAGCATCCTCAGTTCTCTCCTCTGAACCTGATATTTACCACAAAACGTTACATTATATATCAGAAGCATTGCAAGAGAGAAAACAAGACATTGTATCTAACTAACCAGCTGGATTCTTCTCCTGTGCAGACACTTCTTGTTCTGTTTCTTCAATCTCCTCAGGTTTATCCAATGTTTCTTTACTCTTCAAACTCAAATCAGCCATACATTTCTCCAACAACCTTGTTGATCTCCTTGTACTGTACCCTGACTGAACCAAATCCCCCTTCTTACTCTCCTGAACTTTGCTCCCACAAGAATCTACTGCTGAAGCCTTCTTCCTTGTGCTTCGTGCTGCAGGAGTTTTAGCCACCTCAAACTTGACATTCTTGTTCATGTTCTCTTGGTCCAATCCTCCATCAAGAGACTTTACAGCGGTCTTCCTTCGGGTTGTTCGAGTTGCAGTACTTGGCGGAAGCTTAGCTACACTGGTTGGAGACTGAAGAACGTTGGAGTTGCACTGGTTCATGTATTCATCAAGACCTTCAACCTATAAAATCCAAAGAAAAAATAAAAATCACATAAACAAAACATTAGTGGTGCAATAAATCAAATGAGCATTTTTTTTATGGTAAAATGTTAAATTACATAATGAGCAGTTGAGCACAAATAAAATTCAAAATCACAGAATCATAAGATCAAACACATACGAACAACTTGACATAAACAGATGTACATTAAAATGCGATTAACAAAAAATTATTAAGGTCACTCAGATTCACCATTGCATTAGAATTTCAAGAGACTAAATCAGCAAAGCATGATCACAACCAGCTCAGATGTGATTCTAGTATTCTACGGTTCAAATAAGACGGATTCAGCTACAGTAATTGACGAAATCGAAGCGATGCAAAGTGTGAGGAGGAGGAGGAAGGAAAGCTTACAGTCTCAAGAGATTTGAGAGCATCGGCCATGGCGAGGTTGGTCATGTTAGCTGGGATTTTGTTGATCTTGCAGAGGAATTGAAGATCTCTTCTGAGAAGGCTGTGGAAATCCATCTTTCGCTTGAGTGTTGGTGTTGAGACTTGAGAGAGAGAGAGATAGTGACTTAGAAAACAAGTTGTTTTGATTTGACTATGGAATCGGAAGGTGTGTGTGTGTGTTGGGGTATTTATATCTCTTTGCTCTTTTCCCAAGAGGCGCCAATGTAGTAAACTAGTGACCGTTGGAGCGGAGGTTTTGAATTTTGAATTTTCTTAATACTAATATTTTTTTATTTAGTCAACCTTTGTTTTTCCTTTTACATTCTCATTTCTCTGCCTTGTCACTTGTATTCATGTGTCGGCCAGAAATAGCACCAAATATTCCAATAATGGAAACCTTAACACGAAATATACATTTGTTAAAGAGCATTTTAGTTTTTTTTTTTATGTTGACGTCTTAAGGAGAATTTTAGTTATAAACAAAAATTGTTGATCAAAAAAAAAAAATATTCAAACCAATTTTAAAAGTTTTAAAAAAAATATTATTTTTTGTTCAACAAATTAGAAAATATCTTATTACAAGATTTGGGTCGTATTTGTTTACAAAGTGTAGTTTTGGGCGATAAACTTTATTAGCCCATATAAAAGCGCAAATTGCATAGGTTTCATAAAAGTTTTTATCTAAAAAAGCTCCGATGCCGGGAATCGAACCCGGGTCTCCTGGGTGAAAGCCAGATATCCTAACCGCTGGACGACATCGGATTTTGTTTGTTTCATTGTTGCATACGTTTTGACTCTATATATAACACCTTAATGGAATTGCTGATTTGAATCATTCTCTAGTCTCCAAGGGCCCCCCTTGATCAAATGTAAGTAATTTTTTTTGGAAATTGATACATGTAAAACAAGCGTTACAATTACAGAATGGAAAGATTTATTGTTGTTTATTGGCTTATTGCAACATAACACATTGTTACCAAGCTTTCTCCTCAAGCTACTGAGTTCTCCTGGCTGCCGGCCAGACTGGAAGAAGCTTATGAAGATGGCTAGTTTATGAAATTAGCTCGATTTTATGATGTTCCGAACTAAATAAATTTCATATTTCTACTTTTTCGTAAACCTGAATAAATATCGTTTTATATGTTAGTATCTTTTTTCATAACATGATCAAAACTGGCTCACCAACCAACATATTCCTATCTCTTCAGTAGCCAAGAGATGAAACATAATTTTCCTTTTCACTTTTTACACAGAGATAAGTAAATGAAAATCAAAAGGATTTCTTTTGCCCATTGATATGTATATAGTTATAACATCATAAAATTGACCCTAAGCTTTTCCTTTAATCACAAAGGCCCTCTTAAGTTGTTCCTCTTCAACTTGAAGTTTTCAGTAGTGATTTAGCATAAGCTAATGGCAGAGCTGCAATTTTCTTAACTTTACCGACATAAGCTCTCTTCGTAAAGTTGTTATAATCATTCGCTTCAATCTTGTCCATTATACCAGAAAAAGTCAAACAACCAAATCTTAAGGGTTAAATCGATCAAAAACAAAGTTCAGGGGTAAAAAACGAAAAAGTCAAACCAAAAAATGTAAACGGTAGAGATACTTACTGGCCATCTGCTAGCAGCATCAAGCTTGGTATCTTTTGGGGAAGATAAACTCTTCCTCTTCTTGCACTGAGAGAGAGGACAGAACCAGTTTAAGAATGATGTGTGAAATTAAGAAACCGGTCTAATTTGAAATAAGAAACCGATATGTAAAAATCAATAAACCAAATCTTGAGACTCACGCTTCACCAATGTCTCTGAGTGTGTTGGTAACTGATTGGCTATACCGAGGGCCAAGGCAGTGTTGTAAACACTCTCCGTCGTTGCTTTGGACTTAGAATCAATTCCCATAACTGGAACGCTCATCAAATTGACGGTTCCCTCGACATAGTATCAAGGTAGAGATCATCAAAATTCTTGTATCTAGACTTCCTCAAATCCATTCTCCTTCCTTCTATCATGTCTCTAAATGGCTGCAAAACATATAAGCTTTACATCGAACCGGCTAGGTCAAGTTACTACATCATCATAAGATGTAGAAAGTATCATAATAATAAAATTAGACTATGTATCATGAAAATAAAAAAGATACTCACATAATATTTTTGTTGTAAATATTATTGTGTTATGTGAAAAATATGAGAAAGCTTAAACAGTTAGACCTATATATATGGAATATTTGTAGTTTTTTTTGTTTATGTTTTTTAAAATAGGAAATCTATACTATTATTTGAGAAGTAAATTTGCTTAGTTGTCATGTTTTCCATAAGTTTAGGTAATTTTATTTATTTATCATATTTTTAATAGTTATATATATATTTTATTTAATAAATAAAACGAATCTTCTATACTATTATTTAAGAAGCAAATTTGCTTAGTTGTTATGTTCTTCATAAGTTTAGGTAATTTTATTTACTTATCATATTTTTAATATATATATATATATATATATATATTATTTATAAATAAAACGAATTTATATGAATTATCTTATTTTCTATAAATTTGCTTAGTTGTCATGTTCTCTATAAGTTTAGGTAATTTTATCATATTTCTATATATTTTATTTATAAATAAAATGAATTATATGAATATATCATAGTTTTAGAAAATACGATAATTCTTGTGAATTATGTTGTTATTGAATTATGTTATTATCTTGAAGTATATTTTTATTTATAAAACTGAAATTTTAAATTATACTTATTTATCATGTTTTATGATTTTGACTAATGATTAATTATTATCCTTAATTAATGACTACTTAAAATTATTATTATATAATTATGAACCGTATATTAATTATATTTATTACCCTTAATGACAAAGCAAACATAAACTTAATGACTAATTAGATTTATTAATATATAATGACTAATTAGATCTATTACTATATAATAATTAGAAACAAATCTTATTTGTCATGTTTCTTATGATTTGATGATTATCATTATCTAGACTAATGATTATAATAAATCTAATTTTTCATTATATAGTGATAAATCTAATTAGTCATTAAGTTTATGTTTGTTTCGCCATTAAGAATAGTAAATCTAATTGTCATGTTCTTATGATTTTTACTACCCTTAATGACAAAGCAAACATAAACTTAATGACTAACTAGATTTATTACTATATAATGACTAATAGTTATTACTATTTGACCAAAAAAGATTTATTACTATATAATAATTAAAAAATTCAATATATAATTAAACATAAGTAAAAAATGAATTTCAATGATTTTAAATTTATCTTTATCTAAAACTATTTTATATTGGGTTATAAAATCTTTATTAACCTTGAAATATAATTATATTTTTAGTAATACATCATTAATTATAAATTAAAAACGAATTTCATTTATTTGATAATCATCCTTATTTAATTTTTTATATTATGTATTTATATACATTGAAAAATAATTATATTTAAAATAATTATATTTGTTAATATATAATTAATTCTAAATTAAAAACGAATTTCATGAATTTGATAATTATCATTATCTAATTTTTTATAATTGTGTTATAAGTCTTTATTAACCTTGAAAAATAATTATACTTGTTAATATATATTTAATTATGAAAATAATAATTCGCAAAGAATTTATGTATAGATAGTTTACATTACTAAAGATAATTTTATTATACTTTTTTGTTATGTCTAAAAATGATATTAATTTATTACTAAATATTTTAAATTTATGAGTATTTTCACATTTAGTTTGTGTATGACAATTATTTATATGATGATGAAAAATTTTATATATAGAAAGAATTTATTTAGATTATTATTAAATATTTTGAGGGTATGAACAATAATTTATTATAATTTACTTAAATTGATTATATTTGTTTATAGATATTAAGAAATTATTAAGCCCACAAGTGCGGGCAAAACACCTAGTTTTTTATTAAACAGAAAGCTAATTATTTACAAACAAATAGCTGAAATTTACTTTTACATCTCTTTTGTTTAGGATTTTCTAGAAAAGGAAAATTATATGAAATATTTTTTATAATTATTTGTAAAATTTATAATTCATTTTTGCTTTAATTTTTTTTGAGAAATACTATTTTATTTTATAATTCTCTTTGTGTAGGAATTTAGGTTTTTTAAAAAAGAAAAATTACTTGCAAATAATTATTTACAATTATCTTTTATTTAGAATTTTAGAAAAAGTAAAAAATAATTTTGTTTTATGATTTTTAAAACATGAAATTTTCTATTAAACAGGAAAGTTGGTTATTTACACAAAATAGTTGAAATTTTGCTTTTATACCTCTTTTGTTTAGGATTTAAAAAAAAAGTTATATTAAATATTTATACGTATTTTTAAAATTTATAATTCATTTTCGCTTTATATATATTTTCCAAACTACTATTTTATTTTATAATTCTCTTTGGGTAGGATTTAAAATATAGAATTAGAGATTTAAAAGAAATGAAAATTACTTGAAAATAACTATTTACAATTATTTTTTATTTAGGATTTTAAAAAACAAGAACAAATACTTTCAAATATCTTTTTATTGATTAATTTTATATTTATTATAAATTTTTTGACACATGTCACAATTTCACGATTTTTATTACCACATGTCAGCGGTTTGAAGAATTATGCTTATTACTATTTTACATATGTCGTTTAGCATAATGAGATGGGATGTCAAAACTTGACTTAGCCGGTTCGCGGTTACTTGTTTTTATTGGTTAAAGACTTTCCACGTTTAGACTGCAAACCAAACCGGAAATACATTCGTGTCACACACTATATATAACCAAATGCACCATGTGACCACAAAAACCTCTCCTCAATTCTTCTTCATCATCCCTAGCTGTCTCCTCCAACCATGATCTACGGCGAAATTCAAAAGCTTCGCGGTTACGAGCTCCGTCTCCTACGTTGCACCATCTCTTCACCACCGTCAGAGTCTCCTCCTGTCTCCCAATCCGAAACACATCCACACGACTCTCTCATAAACTCCCTTTTATCCTCAATCGAAGCTGGAGACTACCTCAGAGCTCTAGAATCAGACGCCGCTAAGCTAATACTAGGAGATTCCGAGTTGGACCTGGTTGATTCAGCCGAACGAGTTTACTCCGAGCTTCTCGCGAAGGTCGAAACTTTCGTGGTGAGGGACTCGTCGGATGAAACCGACAAGGCTCACCGTGCTGTTATGGTGATGTGCTTAGCGGTCTCGGCTGCTTTTTGGTTCACTCGTTGTAATTTAACCGGGTGAGTTGCAGAGTTATTGCAAAACTCCAACTTTACTAATGACTTGTCGGTTATTACAAAACTCTTTTATCAGTTTGATCAAAAAAAAAAAAAAAAAAAAACTCTTATCAGTTTTTTTTTTTTGTGT